GCACTAAACTCAGTCTTATAAATAGCACCTTTTCATAGTGGATCAAACAGTTTGTTGATGACATCCAGAACTAATCAATCAATCAATTCAACTTTATTGTCCATAACATTCAATGAAATGGAGATTTGTCTTTGACATATGGCTTATAAAACAAAATAAAAATGTAATTAAAAACTCTAAAAAACTTAAAACCAAACTTTGCTAAATCAATTTAAAACATTCAGTTAAAACCATTCTAAAATACACAATACATCTGTTCAGAATCGGAATCAGAATAAGCTTTATTATCATTGTACTGGGATACAGTGAGATTATGTTCATATAGTCATCCGAAAGATGGCCAGAGTGCACGTTGCTGCTGCTACAAGAGCACTGCCTCGTATTCTTTATCAGAATGCATCTTTAGATAGAACAAGATAAAAGGCCATGAAGATGGATAGTGGTATTACAAAAAAGATCTCTTCACATCTTGTCCTATCAGGATACAATTTGAGACATCAAAAAGCTCTACCAGCAAGCACATTTATAGACACATTACATATGCATTTGATGTCAGTATGTTGGGATTTGTCCATGAAACACTCCCAGATAGGACATAGTCCTGATAAGGTGTTGATATTCATCCAGCAGTTCTGATAAGCCTGCACAGAAGTTTTCAGGGGTGCGATAGACAAAGCTTTTTCCTTAGTTTACCCATGTCCCAGGAGAAAGTTGATAGTCGACCTGCATCCGAGGCCAAACAGGGGAGTCAGATTCAGATAATCCACAATTGTTGATTTTCTTCAGGCAGACTGTTTTTTCTTGTCATCCTTGAGTCCTGCTGGTACTTTCAAAATCCACAATGGCCAGATTTGTAGGCATTCAACTGATCTGTGATATGAGCCTTCTTCAAGGTTGACTCGTAACATGCTGGTGAGTCCTAGAAGCCGCAGGTGGCCTGTGATTCTCACAAATCGCTTCCATCTTATGGTTTAGCTTGTAAATCATCTGATTTTGAGTACTCGTAGCACAAACCAAACCTTCACACAGACTTGGCAGTTTTGTCATGGCTGAAACTGCTGCCAATGTCTTCTTCAAAAGTTGATGACAAAGGGACCCATTGATGCCAAAAAGCAGAAACCTTGCTATCATGAATCCAATTATATAAACGTCTTCGGCATCCTCCTGAGACATAACTGAAAAACACATCAGCTGCCAAACTCCCCACGGATCCTTGATGTATCCTGCAGCGTGAATCTCAGCAGGACATGAGGGCTCTCCAGGACCCTGTTGTTTTGTTTAAAAGATTTTGTTGATTGCGTTGCAAGTCCAGCTCACCAGATCCATAATAGTATTTTTCCTTACAAAAGATGTGTACCAGGCTCTCTGAGGGTACATTCACACCAGCCCTGTTTAGTCTGCTTTAATCGAACTCTAGCTCGTTTTCCTAGGATGTCCGGTTCGTTTGGGGAGGTGTGAACGCGCCATCAAACTCTGTCACGGAACAAAAAGGCGAACTCTGGCCCGGGCTAAAACCTAGGTCTTGGTCCGGTAGAAGAGAACTCAAACGCGGTTCCAATACAATGTGAATGTAATCAGACCGGGCCCCGCTCCACAAGCAAGAAGTGGAGTACAGCGCAGGACAAACAAACATGCATTTCTCTGACCTTATATGGAGCTGTAGTCTGCCTTGTGTGAAAAACAACATTCTCCATGGTCTTCTGTCTCATCTTCTGCTCATGCTGAGTCCATTTTTGAAAAATGACAAAATATAACTCCTAAAACTGCTAAAACTTGATGCCACTCCATTTTTGTTTTTATTTCCAGAAGAAGAAGAAGTGTCTTCAGAGGTTTTTGTGTCGTTTGTTTCAGTAGTTCTTGGTGCAGCGCCCCCACAGGCGAGCGGGGGAACAGGTTGGTTCAACAGGTTGGCTCGACTACACAGTGCAGTGTGAATGCAAACGCACCCGCTCAAATGTCAACAAAATGTCATGAATATTGGTCTCCAACCGAACCGAGTCTACCAGACTGAATGCACCCTGAGACACACACACACAGAGTAAAACGCAGGAGGAAAATGAGGACAGGGGAGGGAGAGGAGAAGGCATTTGCCTTGAGCGAGAGCAAGTGAAGAAAGCACTGTACACATGATAAAGGAGGACCATCAAACTAACAATTGGTCGTTAGTGCCCTGCTCACCGCTTGCCATTCACAGGGGGCTGGGTGACTGGGGGCTGGGTCTCTGTGTCCAACTGTCCCCCTCTTTCAATGCTGTTATTGCTAGTATCACTCAGCCCCCTGTGAATAATGAGCAGCCGTCAGGGCATTAATGACCAATTGTTAGGCTGATGGTCCTTTTTTAATTATGTTTTTATTTTCATGTGAACAGCTAGTTCTGGATGTCAACAACAAACTGGTTGATCCACTATGATAAGGTGCTATTTATAAGACTGAGTTTGTTGCAGCTCCTCAGACTGAAGAAGTCTTTTGGATAAAAGACAAAATGTTTCAACAAGTTTTTTTTATTAAATTTTTTTTATCCATCCAAAGGACCTGTCTTAACTTTGTTAGATTTTTCTACCTTGGTTACTGAGCATCCATCAGGACAGCTTTAATAACATTACTTTTCTTTCCCACATTTGGAAAATAAATTTCAAATTTAAGGTGTAACATTTCTTAAAGGAGTGCATGTCTCCTGCTGTCTTTCGTGCCAGTTTTAGACCATCATTTTGCAATTAACAAACTTTGAAAATTATGTTTAGCGTAATCTCCTGTGATAAGACGCTATGTTACAATCAGCGTATGTTTTGAATGATTTTCAGCTACTACCACACCACATCTTTGTGCAATTACTGTAAAACTAACTTGTTTAAAACCACCTATGTGTCTTTAAAGTCGTGGTAGCCCTCTTGAATCAGGCTGACTCCAAAAGCTTTTCAGTTGTAGATGTAATTCACATTTGCAAATTTGATTAAAATTGTACTATTGGTTCATGAGATTGTTTGGTAACACACAAACACACTCAGGCATGAGCAAACTCATCATCCACCTTTGAAGCAGCGAGTGATAAAAAGACCAATTCTTGAAAGAAAAGTAATTCTCCTGACAAATAGAGAGTAATATTTCCAAACAATATGTTATTTTAGCCTAGGACATTCCTATACCACTTGTTGAAGCACCTCTTTAAATTACTGGTTTATAGTTTAAGGAATCAAATAATTTCCCAGTGTCCTGTTTAGCTGTAAAGCTGGTGTGTGTCATATTTTGAAATGCACGTGTAACACATTTACTGACACGATGATCTTGATTCAGATCACCTAAATGACTGATGGCTGCAAGAAAGCTGTGCTCTTTTTCCTCCAACACTGATGTGGTTTGGAGAAGAGAAAATTACAGGATGGGCTATTACCACTCCATACAGTGTACCTTGTCTCAGAACGTGCCACTACATGCACTGCTATGTGGTGGAAAATTCAGAAATGTTTGGATTTGTCTGTTTCACTGAGCTCAGAAGTGATCCACACTAATGATGTCTGGATAAGTGCCTGTAGCAGCAGCACAATCATTATTTACAAGAAACATCAGTGGAGATAAAAAAATGCCTTTTTCCTTTTTAATTGCACATTAAGACAAAGCCAGAATTTGCCTAAAACTTTTTATTATAGGTCTGTGAAACTGGAAACTGTAATTATTGGCAGCAGTCCAAGTTTAACCTGTCAAAATAGATATGTAGTTCTGACAGTTTAATGAGTCTTTCATGGGGAGAGGAGTGAGATCGTGTAATAATGAGAAGCACTGCTTTTTATTAAACTCAATTCAATTCTGTTAATAAGAATCTGTTGGACTCCTGGCAGGGACCAATGCAGACATGTTCCTGTTTTTAGTTTTCTACATTTGCCTTATAATCTAGCTGTTTTTTGTTACTTTTTTTTAGCCATCTTATTTGTAAAAAAAATAAAAATCTGTTTGCCTTTTTATAACTGTCTATTGTTGTCGCTGTTGTCCATTGTTGTCATCATTCTTTGTTGAAATCAGGTCTCTCTTGTAAATGAGTCCTCGGGGCTCATTGGGATTCACCTGTCTAAATAAAGGTTGAATGAATGAATGAAAAATTCAGTTAATTTATATAGCGCCAAATCACAACAGAAGTTGTCTCAATGCACCGAACAGAAACTTCCACATACATATAAACTAGTAAAAGTTATGAGTTAAATGCAGATAACTAAGTTTGCTATTGTAAGGGGACATTCAATGATGACAATCTCAGACTTCTCTTCCTTATGTATCTAAGGAAGGAAGCAGACACGTTGAATCTTCACTTCGTCACAGTCTCCCATCCCGAGCAAACACAAAAGACACAGTGGAAAGGAAAAACTCCCTTTAACAGGAATAAACCTCCAGCAGAACCAGGCTCAGGACAAGCAGCTATCTAATTTAGAATCAGAAACAGAATGCTTTTATTATCCTTGCACAGTGAAGTACAACAAAATGACTTTCCGCACAGCCATCCTAAAGATGGACAGAAGTGTATGGGGGGCAGCAGCTTCTGCTAATTTTAGCCTTTTCCTATTTTTTATTTTTTATTTTTTGCATTTTATGCTTCTTTCTGATAATATAAACTTGTGTTCCTTTCAACCTCTTTGCTAAGTTCAACTTTATAAAGATTTTTGGTAACTTTTTAAACTAATTTTGTTTGTAATTTTGTTTCTGTTAATTTTACTGCATTTTTTGCAAATTTCAGATTTTTTTCCATCTATTCAGCCTTTCTGTCTATTAGCTTGTTCTGCTCATTTATGCTGCATTTCTGTTCTATTCAGCTTTTTCTACACATTTCCACCATATTTTTCTACTGCTTTATGGTCTTATTTTCCTGTTAACAGTTCATCAATGAAACCTTTGCTCCTAGTTTCAACTTCTTCAGCAGCCTTCAGCAAAAGTCATTCAGCAATGAACATTCTCACTGCATTTTCCCAGGAAATGCAATTTCTCTAGTGTTTTACCTTTGCTCTCTCACTTGGCAGGTTTTAGAAGAAAGAATGAAGCTGGAGTGCAAGTGCCATGGCGTTTCTGGCTCCTGCACCACCAAGACCTGCTGGACAACGCTTCCGAAGTTCCGCGAGGTTGGCTACATACTCAAGGAGAAGTACAACGAAGCTGTACATGTCGAGGTCGTCCGGGCAAGTCGGCTGCGCCAGCCCACCCACCTCAAGGTGAAACAGACTCAGGGCTACAGGAAGCCCATGGAGACGGACCTCGTTTACATTGAGAGGTCACCCAACTACTGTGAGGAGGACGCAGCCACGGGAAGCGTGGGAACCCAGGGACGCTTGTGCAACCGCACCTCGCTGCACACAGACGGTTGTGACCTCATGTGCTGCGGCCGGGGTTACAACACGCACCAGTACACCAAAGTGTGGCAGTGCAACTGTAAATTCCAATGGTGCTGCTTTGTCAAATGCAACACGTGCAGCGAGAGGACGGAGGTGTTTACCTGCAAATAAAGCTGCAGGAAACTCAAATTATCAGGAAGAGTAGCACCCAGGAGTAGCTGAACGAGCATGAACCGGACAGAGTGGGATATCCATGTGTCTTTGACCAGTGAGAAATTAAAAAAAATGGAACAAATGGAATTTACACTATTAGCTCTTCATTGCGTCGTTTTGCACAGCAGAATCTATCTAATTGCTTTCCAGAAAGTAATTGCTAATTTTCAGTAGGTAGTAGCCCACAATTTTACTGTCACATTGTGATCATGTACTAATGCATCCATATTGAAGATTGGAGTCCCCATTACAAATAGAAGAAACAGTGCTTTGCACTGCGTGCAGAGCAACTCAGAGGAACAAGAAAACTTGTCGGCGGGGGGGGGGGGGGGGGGGGGGGTATCAGCTGATGTGAGGCAATGAGAATAGATTTGTCAAATCTTTGCTAAAAGTGACTTTTATTATTTTATTTTTATTTTTTTTACAGATTTTGTTGTGTTTTTGCTAAACGGGAGCTTATGAGTGAATCTTGACAAGTACCCTCGTGACCGGTTGAGGCCGGTGTTTGAGGTGTAGATAAACAGGACATGTAAACATGGTGCATTGTGCACCTATAAAGTTTAAGTGGAGAACTCTGCTGCCAACTGGAATATGGTGGAGAATGTTTAGTTTTCCAGTAACACTGGAACTGTCTGTTTTGAACACTGAAAATAAATTGTCTATTTATGTTATTGTATCTTAAAACAAAGCACTAACGAGTAGAAATGTCTTCATTGTACTAAATGTAAAGAAAGAAAAAGTTTTTTTTCTTTTTATAAACTCTTGACTAAAGATGTGTCTATTAGAAAATATTTCCATCTAAAACACTTTCATTTTTCTTTGACAAAACAAAAAGAGAGAGAAAAAATTGCTTTTAATGCTGCTGACATGCTAACAAAATCATGACTGTGTTTCACATTTAAATATCTCATCATTCTGGGTTATTATAGTTTGTTTGCAGTCCCATGTTCCCACACACTTTTTTGGACGATTTTGCAACAGTGGTTGGAAATCTTGGAGATGAAACATTAAACTGCCCAGATCCTTCAGAAAATTATTAAACATGAATTTTTAAACTACCTTGAATGTGTTTTTGAGTCATAAACTTATCATTTCTACTTAGAGATCATTTATAAAATGCTTCTACTTTTAATTATTTTGCCAGTTTATCACTGCAAAATCAACCAAAAAAAAAAAGACTAATAGTTTTTTTTCCTATTTTTTTCAATCTTGCTAAACACTAAGTGAGGGCTGATATTTTCCATTTCCTTATTATTTATGACAGTTGTGCAATGTTAGTGATTTGAACAACAAATCAAATAAACATATTTGAAAACGGCAAAAATCCAACATACTTAAATAAATATAGTTGGTAATGTACAGTATGTTCATACAGAGTGAACTGAGAGTGCAACAACATTTGATGAAACTAAATAATTTTTTCTTTGTTTTTATTTAACTGTTTTATTTTTTTCAACATCAATCTGTGATCTATATTGATGATCTCAGGATGCATCTTTTAAAGTAAGCTGACATTTAAATCTTGATCTTCATATAAACCTCCAGCCTCCAGTTAGCATCTAGATATCTGCATATTTCAGAATCAGAATAAACTTTATTGGCATTGCACCGAGATACAACGCGAATATGTACGTACAGTCGTCCGAAGATGGGCGGAGTGCACGAAGCTGCGGCTAAAATAATTAGCGCGGCCTTCTTATTCTTATTCAGAATAATATTTTGCTTAGATAAGAAAAGGAAAGAAAACATGAGGAGAGATGGCAAAAAAAAAAGATTTCTCACACCGTGTCCTAGACAGGGCACAATTTGAGGCATCAAAAAAAAACTACCACAGCAAAGCAACATAAACAGACGTTATACATTTACATATAGGTGGTGAAAACATTGAATTTTTAAGGGAAAGTCATAGCATAGTTCAGAGCCCCCCCCCCCCCCCCCCCCCCCCCCC